AATAAAAATGCACAGGCGATCAATACCACCAAAACAAAGCTCTATTTGTGGGAAAAAAAGGACGTAAATTTTCAGTACAGCGTTGCATGATCGTGCAATTGTCAGTTAAAGTACCATATCAAAAAATTTGGGTCAGGAAGGGGGGTAAATCCTCTGGAGGGCAAGTGGTTAAACGTACCATTTCAGCCTATGCAGGTGGCACCAAGCTAGTTAGTAGAACTACATTCTTATAGTATGTCCACAACTTACAAGCCGACCTCAATGCACTGTTTAATTGGACAACTATGTGGAAAATGTGGTTTAATGTTGATAAATGTAAGGTTATGCACTTGGGGGCTAAGAATATGCATGCATCATACATACTAGGGGGGGTACAACTGGGGGAATCAATGGTAGAGAAGGATCTGGGGGTTCTGGTAGATCACAAGCTTAATAATGGCATGCAATGCCAAGCTGCGGTTTCTAAAGCGAGCAAAATCCTCTCTTGTATTAAAAGAGGTATAGACTCCAGAGAGAGATATCATATTACCCCGGTACAAATCATTAGTAACACCTCATCTGAAATATGCAGTTCAGTTTTGGGCACCAATTCACAAAAAGAATATTGGGGAATATTGGGGAACTGGAGAAAGTACAGGGAAGGGCAACCAAACTGATAAGAGGTATGGAGGAGCTCAGCTATGAGGAAAAATTAGAGGAACTGAATTTATTCTCTCTTGAGAAGAGGAGATTAAGGGGGGATATGATCGACATGTATAAATACATCAGTGCTTCATATAGTGAACTCGGTGTAGAGTTATTCACCCTGAGGTCTTCACAGAGGACAAGGGGGCACTCTACATCTGGAGGAAAAAAGATTTAATCTCAAAATACAGAAAGAAATACCACCCTCAAGAGGTGGTCTTGGCCAGACTGTTTTAAAAAAAGGCCTGGATTCTTTCCCAAATGTACATAATATACCTGGATTCTAATATTTATAGGTAAAGTTGATCCAGGGAATATCCAATTGCCTCTTGGGGGATCAAGAAGGATTTTTTTTTTCCCCTGCTGGAGCAAATTGGACTATACTTTATTAGGGGGCTTTGCCTTCCTCTGGATCAACTGTGGGTATAGGATTGTGTGTATAGATTTGTATAAATTGTTTTTTCTTTTACTTTTTATTGGTTGAACTAGATGGACTTTTTTTTTTTAACCAGACTAGCTGTGTAAAGCTTTGGCTGGAATTACACTTTAGCTTTATTAAGTACATTTCTTCAAAGAAGCCTTATCAAGTGGTTGATAAAGTCCAACAGTGTCCTGGCATGGGGACAAATACAAAGTTTAAGCATTCCAATGGAAGACACTTCTAAGATACATGGTCCCTTATATTCTCTAACTTGCAAAGAGGAAATATAAAAATACTGTATTTTGTGGGGGAAAAAATGCTCCATGTTTCTGCTGCTTTTTTTTTTATATAAATCAGCCGAATATTTTTTAGCTCAGCAGAGTGGATAGAGTGGAGTAGCTGGAGCCAGTGCTCTGTGTCCTGTGAGGAAGGAGTGCACAAAAGAAGAAGGACCTGCCTTGGACAAGGAAACTGCCCAGGAAATAGCGTGGAGGTCCAAGCTTGCATGGTGCAAGAGTGTTGCCCTGGTGAGTCCTGGGGCCATTTTGCGTCCTAATACATACCGGTTACGTGTGCATACAAATCAGTAATGGCAACTGGTAAGATCGGTAAATGCATACATCCCAACTTCAGAACTGGAGAAATAGGGAAAGGGGAAGACCTGAGCTGAGTGCACCACTATGAAGATGGACATGGCTTAATTGTGCTGAATATTGGCCATGGCTTAAAGGATCATGGTTAAGGGGAGGCTAAGCCTACATACTGTATACATTGTACATAGTCTGCAGTCCTCACAGCATACTCCATACTTACTGTGCTATAAGTGAGAGCCCTGTTGCATAAACCTGAAGGATCAATTAAAAAAATGAATAAATACAACCGAATTTACAAAGAAGGGTTAACACTTTCCTTAAAGAGCAACCTCATTTAAGAAGCACAGCAATGAGCAATTGTTCAGGATAAACACTTTGCTCAGGACTATGTAATACACAACATAATGTACAGAGGGCAGAGTTCAAGTCAATGTAACGTACTACACAGCACAATGCATTCAACACAAGGTAATGTACAATAGAGTACATAGGTGCACCAGTAAGGAGTATGTATCATAGAGCCCCTTACATTGGTAGTCAGTGGCTGGAAAAATATTTCTGTGTAAGTTGTGAGGAAAAAAAAGGGTGTCTAGTCAGTGGTGGGGGATGCACTGAGGAATCAGTGGTACTTGAGAAGAAAAAACCCTGGGATCAGTGGGAGCACAAATGCCCAGGAAGAAAAATGGCTGATTTGAGAGTGCATGAGCGAAAAAATGCCAAATGTCAGTGGACAGGGGAGTTAAGAATGCCAATTGTTGGTGGTCATTGGGAAGTCAAAATGGCTGGAGTTAGGTGTCTCAAAGGAATGAAGAATGCCCTAAAGTCAATGGTCTGTGGGAGATGGGGAGGAAAATGCTTTTGTGTCAGCTGGGCATGGTGGGGGGCATTGGAAGCTCAGGCTGAGGTGTGGGGGCAAAATTTATGCTTGAGGAGGGGGAAAGGTGTGCTGAAAAGGTGATGGGGGGAGAAATAATGCCCAGCAGAAGGTGGGAGGGGGGGAACAATAGGGCTTAGCAGTGGGAAAATAGTGCCCAGTGGGGGATGGGGGGGGGGCCACCACGTAGGAGAACAATAGTGTCCCTAATAGAGTGGTGGGGAGGAACAATACTAGCATAAGAGGGAAAACAATAATGCAAAATATTAGTGTCCAGTGGAGGATGGGGGAGAACAATAGTGTCCAGTGGAGGATGGGGGAGAACAATAGTGTCCAGTGGAGGATGGGGGAGAACAATAGTGTCCAGTGGAGGATGGGGGAGAACAATAGTGTCCAGTGGAGGAAGGAAGGGGAACAATAGTGCCCAGTGGAGGAAGGAAAGGGAACAATAGTGTCCAGTGGTGGAAGAAAGGGGAACAATAGTGTCAGTGGAGGAAGGAAGGGGAACAATAGTGTCCAGTGGAGGAAGTAAGGGGAACAATAGTGTCAGTGGAGGAAGGAAAGGAAACAATAGTGTCCAGTGGAGGAAGGAAGGGGAACAATAGTGCCCAGTGGAGGAAGGAAGGGGAACAATAGTGCCCAGTGGAGGAAGGAAGGGGAACAATAGTGTCCAGTGGAGGAAGGAAGGGGAACAATAGTGTCCAGTGGAGGAAGGAAAGGGAACAATAGTGTCCAGTGGAGGAGGGAAGGGGAACAACAGTGTCCAGTGGAGGAAGGAAGGGGAACAATAGTGTCCAGTGGAGGAAGTAAGGGGAACAATAGTGTCAATGGAGGAAGGAAAGGAAACAACAGTGTCCAGTGGAGGAAGGAAGAGGAACAATAGTGCAAAGTGGAGGAAGGAAGGGGAATAATAGTGTCCAGTGGAGGAAGGAAGGGGAACAATAGTGTCCAGTGGAGGAAGGAAAGGGAACAATAGTGTCCAGTGGAGGAACGAAGGGGAACAATAGTGTCCAGTGGAGGTAGGAAGGGGAACAATAGTGTCCAGTGGAGGAAGGAAGGGGAACAATAGTACTCAACGGGGATGGGGGTAAACATTGGTGTCAATGGAAAACATTTATCTTTGCATTGTAGTCTGGGTCCTGCACTACTGCTCTCTGACTCCTCTTCCAGCTGCCAGGGCTGTACAGACTGCAGATCAGGAGATCACTCTGCTGCACAGAGTCTAAATGGAATTAAAGCCAGGGTCCTAGACACAGCCCGGATCTGCAGAATGTAGGGATTGTGTTAGAAACTGAGGACAGCCACATGGAATATAGAGCCATTGGATGGTATGGTAAAGGTTGAAGGGCCAGCTACACAATGAAATAAGGAGGAGGAGTGTAAGTGGATAGTACTCTTGTTTTGCAGTACTGGAGTATGTCACGGTCCACCCACACACCACGCCCGCAGCGACTAGCTAACCGAGACGCGCATGTGCGGCCGTGACTTGGGGTAAGAGGGAATAAGGGGGACTTAACTTCTAATATATAAAACTGGCCGTGATATACTTTCACAGCACGTACTACCTCTTGGCCACCACTGGAGGGAGACTCCACTCCAATCCAGCCGGCCGACCACATACTGGCAAATACAAATCTTACATACAAACTGATGCACTAACTAGGGTTGAGGAGCAGCCTAGCAATCACACACCCTTCTAGGATTCTTCCAGCTATCCTACAAGCCAGAACCCCGGTGTTAATCACTCTTCCACTGTCCACACCCCCCCACACCAGACACACCACAAACGGTAGCTTGCCACCACCCAACAGTTTATCCGCAGAACGGTCTGTTGGGACACCACACACACACAGGTCTCCGTCTGGCAGATCTGCTACCTTTACAATCTGCACATAATCTGTCAACACACAGTGCAATTGCATACAGATAGGCAATGAACTTGACCGAGCATTTAAAGACACTAAAATACAATACAATCTAATCTCTCCGGAGATATGAGCCCGTTTAAACCACTTGCCTACCAGGCACTTATACCCCCTTATTTACCAGGCCAATTTTCAGCTTTCAGCGCTGCCGCACTTTGATTGACAATTGCGCGGTCATGCAACATTGTACCCATATGAAATTTTGATCATTTTTTTTTTCACAAATAGAGCTTTCTTTTGGTGGTATTTAATTGCCACTGGGCGCTTTACTTTTTGCTCTATAAATAAAAAAAAGTGCAAAAAATTTGAAAAAAAAAATTTTCTCCTTCACTGATGTGCGTTGATGAGGCAGCACTGATGGGCACTGATAGGCGGCACTGATGGGCACTGATAGGCAGCACTAAAGGGCACTGATAGGCAGTACTAATGAGGTGGCATGGATAGGCGGCACTGATAGGCAGCACTAATGAGGTGTCACGGATAGGTGGCACTAATATGCAGCACTGATAGGTGGCACTGATAGGTGACACTGATGATGGGTACTGATAGACGGCACTGACTGGCATCACTGCTGGGCACTGACTGGCGGCACTGACTGGCACAACCGCTGGGCACTGACTGGTGGCACTGACTGGCAGCACTGCTGGGCTGCACTGGTGGGTGGCACTGGTGGGCAGCATAGGTGGGTGGCACTGGTGGGCACAGGTGGGTGGGCACAGGTGGATGGCACTGCTGGGCACAGGTAGGTGGCACTTCTGGGCACAGGTGTGTGACACTGCAGAGTGGCACAGGTGGGTGCACTGCTGGGCACAGGTGGGTGCACTGCTGGGCACAGGTGGGTGATCTGCTGGGCACAGGTGGGCGGAGCTAGTGGGCGCACTGCTGGGCACAGGTGGGCGGAACTTGCGGGTGGCACTGCTGGGCACCGATCATCAGGGCACTGATCATCAGTGCCCTGATGATCGGTGCCGATCCTCGCTCTGACAACTGCCGGTTCTCGGCAGTACTTTCCTCACGATCTGACAGCGTGAGGAAAGTGCAGCCGAGAACCGGCACTTGCATTTCCCTGTGATCAGCGTGTCATTGGACACCGCTGATCACGTGGTAAAAGGCCGCTGTGATTGGCCTTTTACCACATCACGTGATCAGCTGTGTCCGTAGGACACAGCGATCACGGAGATCGCCGGGTGCGCGCCCCCTGGGGCGCGCAGGAGAGTGCGTTCTGGGTGGACGTCATATGACGTCCACCCAGAACTGGTCGGCCGCAGTGCAGCCGTCATTTGGCTATCTGCGGTCGGCAACTAGTTAAGTACCCAGATGTCACTTATTAATTTTAAGATTTAATATCCCAGTGCAGTGCATAAAATATGTACAAAGTATAAAAGTTACAGAAAATACAAAAAATACAAGAAGACACACAATTGACTATTCACTATAAAATAAAAGGGAATAAAAAACAGAAATAAAACTTTTACCAAGATTTATCCTGTGACTGGAGCAAGTCAGGGAAAGCCCACAGAGTGCCCAATCAGAAGGAAGTATTTTCATCTCTCTGCAACTAATATTTCAGCTTTTATGAGAGATGAAATCTATTCCTTTGATCTGTGATATACTTTAAAGCTCCCCAGACAGATCGGAGACCCCCTGGTGTCATGAAGCCGAAACTTCTGTGTTCCTCTTTTAAACTTCCAAAAGGTGGCAAAGTCTGATTATAGACAAATCTTATTGGCACACAGGTGTCACTTCCAGAGGAAGCTCTGTCCCTTCAGATGCAAATTGGGGACCATCTGTCTCTGAATACCTATGACTGAATATTTATTTAATGACAACTAAATGAAACTAAATTTACAATTACATATTGCTACTGATCACATCTCAGCTACTCAAATCTGTACATTTATGTCACACAGTATTAGGTACTTATGCTTCTTTCAATAAAAAAATGTAATAGTGAATTAATGAATACAGGGCTTCATTTATTTATGTCATTTATATATGCTAGGAAAATTAAAGTTAAAGTATTGGACCAGCTTTCATATATCTCACCCATCAGGTTTCGGTGTGTATCTTTGCTCAACTACCAAAAGTTTCAGGGTAGAACATACCTCTACAGAATCACACTGTGACTTGTCCTGGAACATAGAATTGCTTCTGTGAGTCACTGGAGGTGACACGTTCTCATTATACAACCAATATTACATATAGAATGAGATCTTGCCCTGTATTACGATCTGTATTTGTCTGATTTCCCTCAGTAAATGGAGGTTGGTCTACTTGGTCTTTGGTCACCGTGTTCAGCAACCTGCAAGACTGGACAAACGCAAAGAACCCACCAGTGCAATAATCCTCGTCCCTCCTGTGGCGGGAGGTGTAACGGCCAAGAAAAGGAGGTGGATACATGCGAGACTTACCGCTCCTGTCCCAGTAAGTGGCCTAAATAACTCTGCTTTATGCCAGAGGGATAGGGGTTCCCTATAAAAAAAAGTAAAAGCAATGCAGTACTGAAAAAAAATGTTTTCTACTTACTGTACATTTGAAAAAGAAAACTGTGCATTTGCAAGTAAGCTTTATGTTTTTGGGAGCTTTAAAGCCCAAATGCAGCCAAGATTTAGTTTCTAGTTTTGGATAGCATGGAGAAGGTTTAGAATTTTTGCCAGATTTTATTAGTATCTATGTCTCCACTGAGAAGACTTGTCCTTACTTCCTGTCTATTTACTGGATGTCACAACAGGAAGTGAGGGAGGAATTTTCTCCTTTAATCCCTTGTTTACCAAAGTAGATTTATGAACATCTTGGTATTCTAAAGGTTAAAGCAAGCCCTTGTCTGCTGCAGCTATAAGTTTGGTATTGATTTTTAGAGCCAGCAAGTAAAAGAGACTCAGGCATCTCTAGAGCCACCCAATCACTTTTAAAGGGCTTTGAAGGTGCGCTTTCCTCCTGCTGGTGGTGCTATGGTGGTTCCTGAGCTCTCCCATTCCTCAGGGGAACCCAGAACAGAGGTACAGTGCTGTATCATTCAAAGCAGAAGGTGATTGGGGAACTACCATTCCCCAATCCTCTCTGTAACTAATGAACCCAGAAGTGAAGTATATCGATTTGGGGTTCACAGCTGTAATTCCCTGGCTCCTGTAGCTGGGGTAGCAGCTAATCAAGCACAATCTGTGCTTGATTAGCTGCAGTGCAGGGCAGGGGAAACACTGGGGTCCAATCGATCCTTGATGTCTCCATTGATCCTTGATGTCTCTCCATAAATAGAATCTGTCACTTGGCCATACTATCACATAGGGGGCTTGTTAACCCCCATTTGATAGCAATAAAGTTACAATATATAAAGTAAAAAAAAAAAAAAGGGTTAAAAATGTATTTTGATTAAATAAATAAATAATAATAAAAAAAAAAAATTAAAAGCACCGCCTTCTCCTATCAATACACCCCAATGCAAGCGCACAGCATGAGGCTTGCACATATGTCAACAAAAAATTACAGGTATTGTCACAAACACCAGAGTGAGGGCAATAATTCCAGAGCTATAATTAACTCTAAACTAGTAACCTGCAAAGGCTATTAAAACATCACCTATGGGGAATTTGCGTACCATAGTTTTTCTGCAATTTCATGGGCACATCTTTTTACTCGACACAACCCCATGTTTTGTATTTTACAAAAAAAAAATTGGCTAAAATATTGTTTGCACTGTAATTAATTTTAGTGTACTTTTCCTGAAAATATGTATTTGATAAATAGCTGTGCAAATATCATGCAACATAAAAAACTGTAACTGCCACTCTTTTATTCTCCGGGGTCTCTGCTTTCAGAAAATGTATAAAATGTTTGAGGGTTTAAAGTAATTTCTAGCAATAAAAGCTGATTTTAATGTGTGTGTGAAAACATTTAAATATTTCCCTAATTAATGATGCACAGGCATCAGATCAGAATGGGAAGGGAAGTTCCCCCAGTGAAAATCCACTATATCCACTAGCATAAACAAGTTTAGAAGCTCTGTCAGAACTTTACCACTTTGTGTGTCCCTATGAAGGAGATTTCCCCTCATTTCCTGTATAGGTAGTAAATGTACGACAATACAGGAAAAGGAAGGGAACGGTCTTTCCAACAGGATTCTAGATGTTCTCAAACCCATTCAAAACTAGAATAAGTGTTTGGCTATGGTTGGGATGGAAGTATTGATTGATAAAAGGTCAAATAAACACCAGAGTGATCAAAAATTTCTTGCTTTTTACATTAAACTGACCCCCTCATTCCTCACACAGCTCATGGTCAGTGGGGCAATTGGGGCCCCTGGCAGGGATGTTCCTCCAGTTGTAAAAAGGAATCGGGAACTCTGCCAATTCAGAAACGTTTCCGCCAATGCGACAATCCAGAGCCATCTCACAGCCCTCCAGGGAACCAATGTGAAGGAAATGCTGAAGGGAATCGGGTCTGTGACAGCCTTCCTTTCTGTGCAGGTAAGACTACACAGTACCCTGGGATTGTTAAAGTGAATTGTTATAGTTCCGAAAATCCACAAGTCTCAATATATTACCGACATGTCCCCATATATAGCAACAGTATCATTTTTCAAAAGAGATTGCAGCAGAGGGTGTGTCTGGTTTAGACATTTGTTAAAGTATATGCAAACCCTCACCATTCAGTTTAAAATAGAAATGAAAGATATTTGTGTATAGATATAAAAAAAACTAAACACTTTTTTTCCCCATTTTTCATAAGTGATCACATTCCCTCTGTTCTCAGTTGCATAAGAGCTGGGGGAGAACAAACAGCAGTACACTGATCTTCCCAGTGAATGGCTGTGTGTGTGTGTGTGGGGGGGGGGAGTTGTCAGAACAAGTCTGATCAGTGGAGAGGAGAGCAGGCTGAGTTCCCAGCACAGCTAGAGAATTGACCATGATGTGTTCTCATGCCTAGTGTGGTCAGTTTTTGATAGGAAAGCAGAGGGACTGTCGGGAACACCAGGGGTTTCACACAAAGGAAATAATACAAAGGGAACAGTATACTTTTTCATACAAGTACGTGGTACAGCAGGCACATATCAGGAATATGAAATATTGGGTTTACATATGCTGAAATTCAACAAACAGGTACACAGGCATGAGGATTTACAAAACCGTGTCATCTCTAAGCAAGCATCTCAGTCCAGGAAGTAGTTGCTGACCCCGGATGATGTTTGAACAAAGATGGCGCTGTCCTTAAGGAGATTAAAACACTGTCATTAGTACTGTGATCTCTGTGAGAGGTAATATGTACTTGTAACTGATACTCTTACATATTACATAACATACATGCTCTTAACTCAAACATTTATTTGATTGGTCCTCTTTGGGTTCAGGTTTTCAAATCTGCATCACTAGCAACCAACCAGTCTCTGCTGCAGAGCATGCGTGCTGTCATTGAACATGTTGACAGCAGAAAAGAGAAGACTGAACAAAGGGATGATATTCCTCTTCTGTTGTTCCTTACTTGTCCAATCAGCAGGCTGGCAGAGGTGCTTGACCAAGGTGTTCTACCACTGGAGGTCAAGGATTTGATTGGGCTGTGTCAGGATCACAAAAACTATCTGCACAGAATTATAAATCCTTTGTGCAGTAAAACAACCCTTGTATATTTATTTCAGTTGCTTATTGTGTCTGGAGTTCAGGTTTAAAATAAAAACACAGTTGTGTACTTTTGCCAAAATATGTGGAAGCTAAATGGCACATCAAGGTACCTTTGCTTTGACAATAGGTGAAACTTTATGTAGCACCACTCTAGTTAGCCAGGAGAAGCTAGCTAGAATTTTTAAAGGCTGGATAGCAGTCTGGGATGAGTCAGCCTAGGATGAGTCAGCCAGGCTCACTTTAGTTCAGGGCTGAGGGTTCTGCAGGTCAGTTCTCTGATACCT